TTTCTTTAAAAATATGGAGCAGACTTCTTTATTAATAACATCAAATAAAATTTTGGACTCTAATTTAAACGGTACGATCTGACTTGCGTTCGACACAAACTGTTTCGCCCGTTTCGTTGGACGAAAGGTTTCGTCTAAATCAAACTTACTGTTTACGCAATGAAGTTATGCACATTATAAAGGCGCATGTTTTTAAGGCCCCTAGTCAGCCTCCGACATTTTTGATGCCATCGAAATTATTGATATTGCATGGTGAAGCGAGATCTTACTGCTTTACTGTATGCTGTGTTCCTGGAGGTCTGCTGGTTAAATTAAAGTTTAGTAGTTTCACAGTGATTTCCTTCGTTTCGACATGCTCCGAATAAAATATCATAGCCAAACTCTCGCATGTAAGCAAAAACAAAGGTGTGGCTGAAGCACTCTGTAAATCTGTCCTGAGCTATAATTAATATTTTCTTGAACATGTAATCATGATACATATAAACTACACGCTTTGCAATCTGGCTCTTTCACAGAGTAATTGTTACAAAGAGTGGTTATTTTGGAGTTGTTTCGCGTGGTCGTAAGTGAAGAAGTGAAAGATATGAGTCTTGTACAATAAGTTCCCGTTCCACGTTGTTTCTTGATCCACGTGCGAATGGAAACCATGGTGACCGTTACGTAAACACTTAAGGGTGAATTTCACTAGCGCATAAGCATATAATGGACCGCACACAGACGCAGTTTGATCTTTATAATCAGTGCCTTTTGTTGTGAATTTTTCGTGACAAAAGGCGCTGTAATCTCGTTCCTCGAGTCTCCGTTCCTTAATGCGCAAAATTGACAAAACCAGCGACCTTCGTGAGTTCCGTTACAGGCTCGATTTTGATTGGTTTTAAAAACATTAGAAGTAAGCGGAGATAAAACTCCAGCTTCTCGATTGAGTCATGTGTTTGCCAGGTGGCCATGCACAATAGGCCATTTCCGGATTACTTTTAGCCTCTCTCGAAGCGAGTCTTGGTGCCCATCCTGTCATATGAAAATGAGATTTCATTCATATGTAAATTAAACTCATTTTCATATAAATGGTTGCACACCAGGCCTCACTTTGATACCGAAGCTGAAGGCAACTCAGAAATGTGTTATTCAACCGAAGTCTGACATTTTCGAAATTCCAAACATAACTTTCCAAGGTTTTTTGTTTCGCGACCGCTGGTCAAGGGGAACGGGATTGAAGGCCCCACTTGACAACACCTTACTGCGTCTACGTTAGTAGCTTATGTCCATGCTCTTGTCGAAGTGAAAACCAGCCCTAACATTCGGACGTGAAAGTAGCGGTTTCCCTTGGCCGGATAGCAGACGTAGGCGGTCAAGCCTTGAGTTCACGTTGATACAGCTGGCCACAGTGCATCTTCCAAAGTCGGCCTCTGAAGGACACTTCAATTTTCTAAGAAGTCAAAGGGGACCGTACTCATAC